AAGAAAATGTTTTGAGAATGATGATGGCAACATATGTACAAATGTGCTTGACACAATGGATGGATGGATGGATTGAGATAAGAGCTGTAAGAGCCCCCAATAAAATGATTTAAAAAAACAAAAAAAGATCTACAGCTCGGAAAGCCCTATGCAAGGTTGCTGAGTCAGCTTTGACTCAACAGGCAGTAAGTGTTTTGGTTTTTGTAGTTTACTAATATTTTGTTTGGGTTTGCTGTACATAATGTTTTCAAGAGAGATGGACCTATAATTTTTCTTTGTTGCACTGCCTTTATGGTGTTTTAGACTCGAGGCTATAGCTGTCCTATAGAAAAAACTGGAGGACATTTTTGTGTCTCTCTTCAAAACCTTTGGATAGGTCTGGGATCCGTTTATTGAGAGATCTGTCCGTGAGCTAGAAAACTGTGGTTTTTTTGTTTTGGTTTTTCTTCATAACAAGATTAACTGTTAATTCCATTTCTTTAATAGGTCTATTCCAAATTTCTACTTTTTCTTGATTCAGCTTGGGTAAGTTACAGCTTTCAATCTATTTTGTTTGTATTTTCAGAAGAACTGGCCCGAAACCTCAGGCAGGGCTTTCTTTTTAATTGCCATTCTTTCTGTAAGTAGGTCTGTTTTTTCACTCCCGTTTATTGGCTCCTTCCTCTTTTTTGCTTCCTTGCCCTTATCAAAGGCGTGTCTACTTTATTTGCTCAATTAAAATCTAACAAACAGAGTAACTCTTGGCTTTATTGATAGTTTCTTATCTTAGTTTATTACTTCAGATTTCTGTTTTTTTTATAGCCTTTTCCCCCTGTTTTATTTGGGTTTGTCCTGTTGCCTTTTAATTTTTCTAGTTGGCATGGCTCATTAACTTTCAGCTTGTTAAAATTGTCTGTCTAAGCAATTTAAGGCCATGGATAGCCCTTGGATTATCTGTTAGTCTGGGTAGACTAAAGAAACAAATTCATAAAAAAAGAAGAAAAAAGACTGAAAAAAAAGAAACAAATTCATAGACACTCATATGTATATAAGGAAGAAGTTTATACACAAGAACAATTGAGACTATTGAGAAAACATCCCAGCCTAGTCCAGATCAAGTCCATAAGTCCATTATTAGTCCATATGTCCGACCATTCTATAAAGTCCTCTTCAGACTCACGAAGCATATGCAATGATGCTGAATGTAGGAAGATCACAGGTCAGTGGGTAGGAAGTCTTGTGGATCCAGTGGCAGTGTAAACATCTCAGCACTGGCAGGGATCTCCATGTGTCTTCTCCACAGGGATGTCACACAGGGAGTGAGCTGAGAGAGAGCATCTCCCACTTCCAAGGAGGAATACAGGAATTCCCAGAATCCTCAGGGGAAGGCCATGCCCACACAAAGGCCTCATTGGCTCTATCCTGATTGGCAGGCTAGACTCCACCTTTACATTCTGAATCCTCAAATTGACACCAGATTATGTAACTACCATAGTATCACTTTGGCCATTTCCCCCGAATTTTGTTCTTTTGTATTTTTCTTATTGCTAAATTATAAAAATATCTTTGAGTTTCTATTATGCTTTTTTTAATCAACACTACCCTGAGAACAAGATATAACTGTTTCTTTTCTTGATTAGTATTCATCGCTTTTTATTTTGCCGTCATCATGGATGTACAGGAAGTTGCAAAGATTGCATGCAGAATGCCATGTACTCTTTACTCAGTTTTCCCAATAGGAGCGATCTTATATCGTTATAGTACAACTTCAAATTTTAAGAACTGACAATGGTACGATCCTGTTACCTGGACTATGGACCTTATTCAGTTGCACCAGATTTTACATGCATTCATTACTGTGTGTGCACATGTTGTTCTCTGCAACTGTGACACAGGCATAGATTGTTTGCTACATTAAGATACAGAACTGGTCCATCAGCATCAAGGGATTCCCTGTCATACCTGTGCCCCGCCAGTCCCTGCCATCTGTTCTTCATTCCTAGGGAGGCTGTTTCCAGTGTGGGCTCACACCGAGAGGGCGGTGACAAACACTGGGGCACAGCTTTTGAGCAGATACAGGCTTTGATTTCTCAGAGCTAAATGTGAAGGAGCACAATGACCGGGTCACGTGATAAGACTTGACAAGGCATTTGACAAGGCATTTCCAAATTCTTCTCTAGAGTGGCTGTACTGTTTTCCATTTCCATCAGCAATGTTTGCTAGATACAGTTTTTCTGTTCAAAATTCAACAGCATTAAGTATTATCACTATTTTCCCCCTTTAGCCATTCTGATCAACATGTAATGATATCACAATGTGATATTAATTTTTTATTTCCCTGTCGACTATTGGCATCCAGCATCATTAAATTTTATTTTATTCATTTTACTGGGGGCTTGTACAGCTCTTACAACAATCCATACGTCCATTGTATCAAACACATCTATACATATGCTGCCATCATCGTTTTCAAAACATTTTCTTTCTGCTTGAACTCCTCTTTTATCTCTCCCTTCCCCACCCTCCCACCCTCGTGGACCCCTGATAAATTATAAATTGTTATTATTTTCATATCTTACACCATCTGCTGTCTCCCTTCACCCATGTTTCTGTTGTTCGCCCCCCTGGGTGGCAGGGAGTTATACATAAATCACTATAGTCGGTTCCCCGTTTCTCCCGCTTCTCCTCCACACCTTCCTCCCATCCTCATGGTATCGTTACTCCCATTACTGTTCCTGAGGGTGGTTATCTGTCCTGGATTCTGTGTGTCAAGAGTCTTATCTGTACCAGGGTACATGCTCCGATCTAGCCGGATTTGTAAGGTAGAACTGGGGTCATGATGGTGGGGGGAGGAAGCATTAAAGAACTAGAGGAATGTTGTGTGTTCCGTCAGTGTGTGCTGCACCCTGGCTGTCTTGTTCTGTTCTTGTGACCCTTCTGTGAGGGGATGTTCAGTGGTCTACAGATGGGCTTTGGGTCTCCACTCAGACTCCCATCATTTGCATCGGTATATTTGTTTGTTTGGGGTCTTCCGATGGCATCCAGCATCTCTCCATGCGTTTACTCCCACTCCTCAATCTTCTTCATTGAAATATCTAGTCATGTCTTCTGCCCAATTCCTGACTTTTTTACTTTGGAGTTTTGACCATTCTTTGTATTTTCTAGGTTGGTTTGTATATAAGTTCCCTCAATTTGTAGTTTGTCTTTAGCTTTTCACAGAGCAAAAATTTTAAATTTTGATGGAGTCCAATTTGTCAATGCTTTACTTTTGGGGTTCAGACCTTTACGGAAAAGTCTACGTCATCGCTTGCCCTAGATCCTGAGGATTTTCTCCAAATTTTTTCTAAATGTTTTATATCTTGCATTTAAGTTCACAATTCATTTTGAGTTAACTTTTATAAAAAGGAGGTTGAAGTTCATATCCTTGGAGGGGGCCTATGGGTGCTCACCTGTCAAAAAGGCCATCCTTCCTCTATTTAACTGCCTTTGCGTCAGGATTACTTGGGTAGATTTGCATAGGTCGGTTTCTGTGTGTCCGCCCTCCTCTGCCAGCACCGTCTCGGTCACGGTGCCTCATGGTAAGTCTTGAACTCAGCTTCCTGTGGGCCCTCCAGCTTCCTAGGCCTTCAAACGCTGATCCAGTGCAAATAATCTTACATCCATTTCCTCTCCTGCCTATTCCAAGGAGGAGAGTTCTTGCCTAAGCTCTTCTCTTTTTAATCTCTAGTAATTTTCTTAAACTTATTTGGAAATATACAGAGATGTATGATAAAACCTACATGTACACTTGAATGCATAATTAGGAGGCACACATTTGTGTAACTACTGCAGGTTAACTCAAACCCAAAAGCCACTTCCCGATTCATAACCGCTCCCTCCTGGAAGAGAGGACACTTTCCTAACTTTTGAGACTGGTTTACTTCATAGATACACTTTCTATGTATGCATCTTTACACAAGAGCGATGCATTTTTGCCTTGCATTAAACTTTAGATGAATGTAATCAGGCCATATATAAATCTCTTGTCTCAATCTCCCCACCCCCGTCCTTCTCACCACATGGCCACATGATGTCTGTGGGTTTCACCCATCTTGTTGAGTGACTTGTGTTTCTCTCATTTGGAGGCAGCAGAACTGTGTCTTACTGTATGTTCGTTACCCAGTCAACTGACGGCGGACGTTTGGGTTATTGCCTGCGATCTCTCTGATCTGTTGCTGCTGTGTGCTGGTCCTGACTCATAGCGACCTTGTGCACGCTACAACTGCTTTAGCTTTCGTCGTCATCGTACAGCCGGGTTTGAGCCCATTGTTGCAGCCGCTGAATCAATCCATCTCACAGAGGGTCGCCTTCTTTTTCACGGACCCTCTACCATGCGCGGTGTCCTTCTACACGGACTGCTTGCTCCAGGCCACATGTCCAAAGCACGCCAGACGGAGTCTTGCCATCCTTGCTTCGAAGGAGCTTTTTGGCTGTGGGTTCTTCCAAGACAGATTGATACGTTCTTCTGGCAGAGTTCATTCAGGTTTGCCTTCTGGTCTAATATGTACCACGTTTCTTGACATTATTTGTAGATAGGGGAGAAAACGTATTCTCTGATGATTGCTTCTGCTTTCTTCTGTCTTAAACCCAGGCAGCTTCCGTTTTTTCCTTTTTGTTTTGTTTTCCCATTACCTGCTCCTATAAATTTGTCACTTCTAGAAGCCATTTAGGGTAAATCCTTTCTCTTCTGAGGTATTTTCTATATTAAGAAAGTCTGGGCTTGAATTGCAGTAGAAGGATGAATACTAAGTAGCAGGAATAACTTCCCAACTGTGTCAAGTGGAACATCCCGGTTATGGGGAATGGAGAGAGGTGGGAGGCCTCCGTTTGAAGAAGTGCCAAGCGGTGGAGAAGCAAAGGGCACAGAGGGAAGCTGGGAAAAGCCTGATGTGTCGGTGAAGGTTCTTGGCATGATTCCAGGGCCAGGGTTCCTGTTATCCATTTGCTGGCTACTCGGACTACTTGGGCACGGGCAGGCTTTCCAAATCTGCATCCATGAGTGGCATCAATGGCTTCTTGGATCCTGATGGTGAGTAAAGGTGGGCCCAAAGTCGCAGTAGCTCCTTCCCCAGTGTACCTCACCACCACTCCGCCAGATCCAGCTGTTTGGGTGCAGATGTCCTGCATCTTGTCTACTCGCACACCCCTGGAGCCCCTAAATGAGAGGTCTAATTCAGGCCTCGGACACCCGGAAACGCTCCTTCCAATGATGGAGGACATCAACAGAGAGAGGCACTCCATCCTCCTGTCATCAACGATGGAGGAGACTGGCCTGCAATGTACCTGGTCCTCAGGATGGGGTATTGAAAGCTCAGCGTGAAACCCCCATCTCGCCAGACACAGAACTAAGACTTCAGGCCCCAGCCCACTGCTCCACGCAACCCTGGTGTTCTGTCCCCTGGCTCCTAAGTCCTCCAGCTCTGTTGTGCTCAGACCCCGCCCTCCCTCCTGCTCCCCAGCGCCCGCCCTCAGGAATGGCGTCACATGCACCTGCAGCTTGGGAACCTGATCCAGGTGGAGGGGGTGGGGGAGGCAACCCTGGGCGCCTTTGTCTGGCTTTAGCCAGACATTTCTCCTCTCCTTCTGTACCTGCAGGAAATTTACCCCAGTCCTCTGGTGCTGACCTCAGCAAAAGGTAAGTATGGGGGACTTGGAGTCCTTCAAAGGCCTGGGGTGGGGATGGGGGGGGGCAGTGGGGCTGGGTCATGGTAGCCCCACTGGTGTCTCTACTTCTAAAGCACTGCTCACCCTCTCTCTTTATGAGTAAATATTCCAACAACTACACACACACCCCAATCACGTAGAATTCACCCACTTCTCTTTGGGGAGAAAAGGTTCAACAGATTCCAGGTCGTCTCTTGGGATGGGGAAGAGACTAGGGGGAGAAAGAAGCATATCCAGGCCACCGGCTGTCAGCTCAGGAACAGAGCAGGAGTCGCTCGTTGATGTCAGTGGCATCAAGGTGCGTAGGCAGATCAGATCGGTAGTTGGACAGGCTCAGGGACACAGTGACAAGGACCGTGGATTCACACTGGATGACTCACATAACTGACCCATGGGGAGTGGCTGCGAGGAGCTGGACAAAGGCTGGAGAGCTTGGAGGGGAGAGGGCGGGGACTGCAGGCAGTTTGGGAGCAGCGGCGGAGGCTGGGAGATTTCCGTAACTGTGTAAATATGCATGCAAAATCAGCACCTGTTTGCTTGGTCGCGACAGTGGCAACCTGGTGACATTGAGTTAGTCCTCCGCCACAGTGAGGGTAGGGGAGCAGGCCCGGGGCCCTTTAAGATAGCGGGCTCTGAGTCGTGGTCCTGAAAATCTCTCGCTGACACATCCTCCTGGCTCTGGGCTTGGGATTAGCTCATGGGATGGGGCTGATGAAATCCCAGGAAATTCAGTCCTTACTGGCTCCAGGCCCAGAGGCCCTTTCTCCAAACAGCAGAGAGGGTCGCACACAAGGCTCTTGTTCTGCGAGGGGAAAATGTGCCCCCTGGGGAGCCCCCACCTCACACCACTTCCGCTGAGGAACAGCCTGAGCAAGGAAGCTCGGCCTTCCTGTCCTTGGTCTCCCAGTCTGGATAAAGTAGGAAGGGGGAGTCTTCTGTCTGGGAGGAGTCTGGACTTTCCTCATAAATAGAGAAGCCTGGGAAACTCAAGTGTCTGCATCCATGAAGCCCTAGGAGGTGGGAGACGGGGAAAGGGCCAAACTGGCTTCCATCCTCACCCTTTCCACCTTTCCCCTCGTAACTCCATTCTCGCTCCCTCTCCTGATCACGGCACCTTCTTCCACCGTCGCTCCGAGTAATTTTTCTTCCTCGCCCGCTCCGTCTCCATCTCCTCACCGGTCTTGTCTTTTTCTCTCTGCAGTCACTGGGGCGGCAGCTGCAGCCAACTGGAAGGGAGCTCAGGTACTTCGGCAGGCTCCTCCCTGCGACGGACCCTCAGCTTCCTCTTGGGCATGACTGGAAAGGCCAAGGTAGGAGTCTGCTGGGCAGCAAGAGGCCTGGGACCCATGGCCCTCCCCAATTCCTGCCCTTCCCATTTCCTCCCGTCTCCCCCATCCTGTTCCACGGAGACTCGGGCATCGGTTCGAATTTTAAAGAAACACATATGGTCTCTCTTGGCTTCCCTCCCTACATCCCAGCAAATCACCTTGGCTTTGCTTTTTCCACCTTGTCGCCAGCTGTGGCCAGCAGGGAGAGGCCGAGGGCCAGAAAGTGAAGGGGTGGCCTCACACACCTAAGAGGTGGGCTGTAGAAGCTCTAAGCACTGGATACCATAATGATAATGATTACAGCAATACTTTGACTTCTTTGGGGAGTGTTAGGGTTTGCACAGTGCTTTTAGGCTCATAATTTCCAGGGTAGATACAGCAGCTGGAGGAGTAGAAATTAGACCCTAGGCAGAGTGGCAGCCAGGGGAGTCTATGATTAGGGAAGGACTAGGCACAACCATACGTGTGTGTACAATGCTGTTCCCAAGATGCAAAGGCACATTGGTCGTTTCCTTCCCACCAGCCCCCGGGCTCCGCTGGAATTCATTTCCCCTTTCTCCGTTTACTGGCTCCCTGTTTTCTCTCATGGCCTCCCCAAGTACACATGGACTTTCCAAGCTGGGGTGGTTCCTGTGCAGAGAGAAACCCCAGAGAGGACGTCATCAGATTCACCTTGGAGTCACGGGATTCTTGCCTTAGGACAGGTTAGGCTCCTCCCAGCCCCTCTGCCGTGGGTCAGAGCTCTCCCTGGAACCTTTTAGCCTGGGGTCTTCTTGCTGGGGGGCAGCAAAGAGGCCAAGATGAAACCGGCCTCCGGGTGGTGTTTAGCATCATCGCACAACAGGTCAAGGATTGAGAAGAGTAGGTCTGAGGAAGGCCCGCAGTCTGAGAACCTTGAAGCTGGGAGTTGGGGAGAGAGGAACAGCATTCTCCAGACAGAAACGGAGCCCCTGGGCTCTGAGTCCCATCTCCCTCAAGTTCAGGGTAGGCGACTCTTAATGATAGAATCCCCCTCTTTCCTCCACCCTTGGCCTAGCACGTGTGGGGTTGGGTGGCCCCTGTGAAGAGCAATGTGGGCAGTGACTCTGGAGGCCAGACAGGCCGCCGGAAGTCTAGACACTGGGCCCTTCCTTCCCCAAGGTCTCTGG